TCTGAACTCTTTGCTCCATATATCCGTAACGGCTGGACCTGCCTTTACCAAAAACTAATCAGCACCCCCATCAATAGAAATTTAATGTTTTTTGAACCATTCAAATCGGTTGATCCGTGCGCCCGAAAACGTGGACGAAAAATTGCGGACAAACAAAACATACATACATAAAAGTTCCAAAAAATATCGACTAGAATATTCATATTGTAAGAGTTTTAGTGATTTTATTTTTTCTTGCATTAATATGATTTAATTAATGCATAAAAACAAAACGAGCCTTGGGACGACAAAAAGGTAACTATATACGTCCCGATTTGAACGGGAGAATCCCGGATTCCCACCATGTGTCCCATGTTTTTCTAAAAAAATATTTTTCCCGGATTTAGATCTTTTGTGATAAATGATATATTCGATGAGTATGTTTATATAAAACAATACATGATGAATGATGAAATGGCCGAAGACAAAATTCGAAAGGTGGTTTAAAATAGATCAATAACTTTTAATTTTTATTTTCGATTTCATAAAAATTTGCAAAAAATATAATAACTGACTGTTTGACTTATGCAGACGGGACAAGTGATTTTCCGAACATTTCATAATCATATATATTTTCGCTTATTAGGAGTTTCCTATCTTGTGTCCCAATAGTTCGAAACGTAGCCCAGCTTTATACCTTCAGTAAATATGAAACCAAACTTAGCGATTTAATGGTTTTTCCTTAAATATTGACGCTATAAAATAAATATAGCTGATGATTTATTACTTCATAAAAACCGAATAACTGTTATAATGTGTACAAAATTGGCTACTTCATCAAACACAAATACGACAATAATTGCAGATTTTATGCCAGAAAAGGCATATAAATAAAAGTTTTAACAGCAAACGATTTTGCTTGCAGAATAGTAAAATAACAAATGATTATTGCGATATTCCAAGTAATCTTTCGGCACATCGTGATTATTAGAGTCGAATGGTCTGCACAAATCTACATAATCGCTTTGAGTACAATAAAGCCCGAGTACTTTATCATAAGAATCTGAAAACTTTCAAAATGTCATGCGCGACCCATAAAGTGTTAAATTAGAACCAATCAAGTATCATTTATTATAAAGATTTTCTGACAACGCATAATTATGTCTCAACACAATTCATTTTGGTAGAAAATTTTAAAATATAGTCAACACAAACGAATACTTTAAATAACAAAACGCTTTCTGCATATAACAATATACATATAGTGATTATCATTTGTTAAAGTTAATTAAATAACAATACAATTACAGCAGAAATAAATCTGAACATAAGCAATATAAGACGTTCTTTACAGAAAATAAATTGATTCTATGATTTACCAATATTCTGTAAAAATTAACTAAATTAAACTTCATATTCGCTTCACATCATAATTTTGAAAATTTATATTGCTGCATATCTATACTTAGTAATTTATATTTTAGTAATAAATATTTTATGTTATTATCGCCATGCTCTTTTATTTTCATTTCTATAAGGCAAATATTTTCGTATGAATTATGTTTTCAGAGCAAAATAATATCTTTCGAAATAGATGAAATAATATATAATTATCATTACCTCAAATTTTATTTGAAAAACAGCGCAAGAACTATGAAAACAAATGTTTTGCAATTATTGAAGAACATAAATCATGTAACGAAAAAGTTACATGGTTGAATTCCTTAAAAACTCATGACATTCAATTTTTCTTAATGATTATGTAAGCATAAATAATTAAATTACAAAAATTAAGTGATCCCATAATCTTCCAATGCTTATATAAACCGAAAAAATTTCACCAATCAGCCAAACAATAGATCATTATTTCAATAAATGATATTGATTTCAGACGAATGATTCCAGACAAACGAAATTATTACATTGTCACGTCGTCATATTATATGACCTTTAGCGTGAGATGAGCTTTGTAGGTGCTATCTCCTTCAACTATAAACAGAAAGTAAAACTTTCTAAATTCTCCATCAGTATTCCAAGTATTTACTTCCTTGATAAATTTGACCCTTGAAAATGCGCGTAGTACTAGTATGGGTATTTGCGATTTGTTGTATCGATTTAAGTGCATTGTCATTATTCGTGAGGTCAGATAAATCGCAGACGAGTGAGAATTTGATTTCCTTCTAATGAATATGTCTAGCTATAAAGAATTTAATACATTACCACGTCAATGAAATCATTCATGCGTTAGCGATTCCTGCAAATTCTATTAAATCTGTGGCGTAAATTATGTCGGCCTTTACCAATATAATAAAATTCCTAAAGTGTAAGTTTTAACATTTAAATCGTTTCCGTCGTTATTAAATTATTATTCATATTCCAAAATTGCAGTTTACTCGTTTTTTAATTACTCTTATTATTGGACAACTGAGTAAAAATAATTTTTAAGAAAGTCGTCACGTAGTCGTAAGTAAATATTTGAATGACGAGAGCGATGTATTTTTTCGTTCTTATTTAGTTATGGTCCACCAAAACCCAGCTATGGACCACCACCAAAACCAGTCTACGGACCACCAAAACCTGTGTATGGACCACCGAAACCAGTTATGGTCCGCCACCAAAACCAAGCTACGGTCCTCCTCCAAAGCCAGTATACGGACCACCAAAACCTAGTTATGGACCACCACCTAAACCAAGTTATGGCCCACCACCTAAGCCTGTATATGGACCGCCAAAGCCTGTTTACGGACCACCAAAACCAAGTTATGGTCCACCCCCTAAGCCAAGTTATGGTCCACCCCCCTCCACCACGTCCGAGCTACGGGCCACCAAAACCAAGTTATGGTCCACCAAAACCCAGCTATGGACCACCACCAAAACCAGTCTACGGACCACCAAAACCTGTGTATGGACCACCGAAACCCAGTTATGGTCCGCCACCAAAACCAAGCTACGGTCCTCCTCCAAAGCCAGTATACGGACCACCAAAACCTAGTTATGGACCACCACCTAAACCAAGTTATGGCCCACCACCTAAGCCTGTATATGGACCGCCAAAGCCTGTTTACGGACCACCAAAACCAAGTTATGGTCCACCCCCTAAGCCAAGTTATGGTCCACCCCCTAAGCCAAGTTATGGACCTCCACCAAACCAAGCTATGGACCCCTCCAAAACCAAGCTATGGACCTCCTCCAAAGCCAGCTATGGACCTCCTCCAAAGCCCAGCTATGGACCTCCTCCAAACCCAGCTATGGACCTCCTCCAAAACCCAGCTATGGACCTCCTCATAAGCCCAGCTATGGGCCTCCACCAAAGCCAAGTTATGGACCACCTCCAAAACCCAGCTATGGTCCGCCTCCAAAACCAAGTTATGGACCACCTCCTAAACCCAGCTATGGTCCACCTCCAAAACCAAGTTATGGACCACCACCTAAGCCAAGCTACGGACCGCCTCCAAAACCAAGCTATGGACCTCCGCCACAAAAACCACACTCAACTTATGGCCCGCCGCCAAGCAACAACTATGGCCCACCGCCGTCTAATAACTATGGTCCCCCGCCGCAGTCTCCGTCGACCAATTATGGTGCACCTGGACCATCAGCTCCATCACCAAACTACGGAGCACCTCCATCCAATAACTATGGTGCACCTCTGCCATCTCAACCGAGTAGCAGTTACAGTGCTCCTTCAGCACCATCCGGTGTTTATGGTTCACCCTCAAACCCCCCACAAGATAGTTATGGTGCACCAGCATCAGGATTACCATCCAGCGACTTTGGCCAATCCGGACATTCGAATTTTGGCTTAACAGCACCACAACAAAATTCTCCGCCATGTTTTAGCTGCGGTGGTCAAGGCGGTGGATTATCCAGTAGTTATAATGCGCCTTCCGGTGGTTTCGGAAGCTTCACGAATAATTTCAATACACCCAGTAGTAATTATGCGGCTCCACCAAAATACACACCACCAAAAACTTCATACGGTGTACCGGTATCCGGCTTAGGATTGTCATCTCTGGGAGGAAACTTTGGCAGCTCTGGCTCATCTGGATTTGGACCATTCTCAAGCGGTGGGTCATTCTCAAATGGCGGATCATATCAAGCACCCAGCGATAGTTATGGAGCTCCATCCGATTTCTTAAGCACTTTTGAAAAATCAACAGACTATGCCAATGATTTCCAAGATAATCTTTCATTAATATCTCAGGAACAATCGTCATTTATTCATAGCAGCGACTTGCCTGTCCAAGGACTAGGACAAACCAATAATTTTGATTTATTAGGAGGACCATATGCTGAACCACCTTCTTTCAGGCCAGCATTCAAGGATACATTTTTAGCAGAATCGTCAGTATAGTGCTGTTGTTTTGTACCAAACCAGACACAGTAAAGATAAAAGATGATGTATTAGCAACAATAAAAACTCAATCCAATTATAAAAAAGAAACTAATACATCACTGAAAATGAAAAATCAAAATTGGATGTACTCTCTTTAAATTATTATGATGATATGCAAGTGTTAGGACAAAAATCAGCCGCAAAAGGAGAACTGGCAAAACCATAGAAAATACAAAATCTAATTTAAATGAATGGAGAGAATTGCCAAGTAATCATAAGTATGACACAGTGAGTCGATAGTTATTTTTGTTGTTAGAAAAAAACTGTTTAAATAATACTTAAGGTGTCATAATATAATTATAGGATAGATGTAAGGTCATCATACAATCAAAAATATCAATCATAATGTGAACTCATTCAAAAAATATTTTTATATAAACTGCAGTCATTATCCAAAAATTTAAAAAATCATAAACAAATTTGTTATATTCTTTGTATGTATTAGATATTCTCAAATAAATTTTTATATAGTAACTATGCTTTATTGAAAAAAAAAACAATTTATCTCCTAATATGAATAATTCAAATTTAGTAAACAAAGATTTTCTCAAATTATTGGAAATAAATACAGCTTATTATTTATTAATTTATGATTCCTTGAAAAACAAACTACTGACTATCTTACCTTTTTATCAATAAATGACTGCCACTGCTGCGACTGGGAATACATTTGAAAATCATTAAAAAATACTGGCCCTGAGGAAGTTTCTGGCAGATCAGGAATATTGGCATTCAAGGATAGAACTTGTCTAGTTTTATCAAATAATGCTTTCATCACAGGCATCAGAAATGAATATTGTTCAGAGTTTCCAACTGAAATTTATATAATATTTAATATAGATTAAATGGTAGAAAAGTAATTGAAAAAAGAATCATGAACATATTTTTATCTATAATATATATTACCTTCAATTGCTTTCTGCAGTGTATTATTTAGCTCATAAAGAAGATAGGCAGCTTCTTTCACATTTGTGACTTGCCTTGTATGCAAAAGTGCATGTAATTTGGCAGAAGCCATTGCAACCAGTTCAGAACAACTCGAGGAAGAACATTTGACTAGAACGCCTAAAGATAATCGCGCCATTTCACCCCAATCTTCACTAGGAGCATCTTGAAAAACCAACAACGCATCTATAAATGAACAAATATACATTCCGGTTAACATATGATATTTGTATTTTATTTTTTTATTCATTCATATTTCAATAAATTCTTTAATAAGACGAAATGTTTCTGCAATTCATAGTGAATACAAGCATTTTAAAAAAGTACTCCCTATACAGTGGGGAGTTTGGCATTCAATAAATATTTAAAATTAAAATTAATAGAATATTTAGAATAAAAGTAAAATGCATTAATTTAGATGCAAATATATATTTTTTTTATAGCTACAACAAGGCAAATACTAGTAAAATGATCACATTAATAAGGCAAAATAATGCAATTTTTTCTTGAAATATAAATTATATTTCTAAAAAACTTACCAAGAAGTGCAAGAACGCCATCCAGCAATTTCACAGAACATTTTTTGGAATCATCCTCATTTGGATCCAAAACAACCAAATCAAACACCATTCTCATAAGTTGAGCAGCATTTTCCTGATGCACAGGAGTTCCCGCACCTGCTGCACCATCCGTCAGGTCAACTAGAGAAGCTTGGACTCCCATCTCTAACAAATGTAACTTTAATTCTAAATGAGAGCAATAAAGTTCATTGTTGAGACCCAAGAGGTTGATACAAGCCATAACTTGACCTCTCTCCTAAATTGTAAATAGTATATAAATAATATAAATCTAACACTCCGTAGTGCATGTATAAAAATACAATACCTTCCAAGAATCTTTTGTTGAACCTTCAACACCACGCCATAATACTGTAAATAAGATATTTGTAACTAAGTAGCATAAATTTTCTTCTTTATCGAGAGCCTTTTCTTCTCTTAATTGTTGCAATGCCAGGGCTTCATTGCGAGCTACCTGTGGAGAAATTTCTTGAAATTAGATCATTTTCAAATAAAAAAAATGTTATGAGTAATTTAAAATATTGACACGTACTTTATCTTTATTTAAAGTGCTCTGACTAGAAATTGCTGAATTTGTGCTCTCGGCATCCAAATGCTGATTCACAGGAAGTGAAGACAAGTCTTCAGTACTACTGCTAGATGAAGAATTTTGGCTACCCCACATGATTGTATCATCTCCAGTCACTTCAAATCTTGGGGTAAGCTATATAAAAAGTACAAATGTAATAGAAGAATATTAATAAGACAGACTTTTCTGGGACTGAGAAACTCAAATAAGAATCTTGTAAGTATAAAAAATTTTTTTGGTAATTGACATATTTTTTTAAATGGTATTATGTATGTATACAAATAAATCATTTATAGATTTTAATAATTAATAATCAATCTTAATAATCTAAAAGTTCAATAAAAGGAGTAAAACTATTTTCATAAATTTGACGTGAACTGACTAAAGTCCAAATTAAGTATGAACATAATTTTAAATTCTATCATCATTTATTGTGTGAAATAATGTTTTACCTCTGATGATTCAAGAGAGTCACTATGAGTTTCAGTACTTCCTACAAGACTACGTTCTAAAGTATCCTGAAGATTGCTGGTATGTTGCTTGATGGCACTATATACAGATGATATGTTACCTTTCACGGAAGTTAAATTATCTACTACAACCTCTGATACAGATCCAGCAATATCTAAACAAAACAAACAAACAAAATAATAATTGAAGAAAATGTAATGAAGTAATTTTAAAATATTTGAAATAAGTTGAAAATTCCAATGTCTCTATATAAAGTTTATATATTACCAGTAAGACAATTATGAAAACATAATCAATCACAAGTTTTACTATTTTAATTATTAAACTGACATGAAATACAATTAATTACAAAATAGTATTCACATTTATGCATTACTATGCCAAAAATTTCAAACAGAGAGTTTAAATATCCTTTATCAGTTCAATTTCCAATAATGTATCAATAACTATTAAAAACATTCAAATAATCGATTATGAGTATCCTACAATGATTTACCTATTATTTCTTGCTCTAAAGCAGTTGCAACTTCGGTGACCTGAGCAGTTAAACTAGGAGGTCCATGAACATCTTCTATTTCAGTAAGTTCCATATTTATCTCATCAAAAGCCATCAAATCTGATGCTACTTCAGCAAGTAATGTATTTGGAGGGGCTATTGGAGAACTGATTGGTCGTTTTATTAAAAGTCTCATTATGGAATCTTGCCAGCCAACCTACATGCCAATATCAGTATTAATTATTATATAACGTCTCTTGCAAAATATATTTGAATAATAATTTAAAATCGAATTACCTGTTTAGCTATCAAAAATGGTGCATTCTCATTCATAAATGTGGTTGCCAATAATTTTCTAGCCATTTCTAATTTAATATCAATATCTGCTAGTGATAAAGCATATAATAGAGATAAAGCACCCGCAAAGCTGCATTCATTTTCTATAAATATTAAAAATTAAAATACAATTTAATCATTGTAAAAATATTCATGTATTACATATTAATAAAATTAAAGATTCTAATTACCTATAAGAAGCATTTGATCTAGTAGCATCACGGATACCTCCATAACCAAATGCTCAGATGGCATTAAAGATATTAATCCTGGATACATGCTCACTGAACCGAGAAGTTTTGCATCTTGTAAACGTAAAGACATCTTATGTCTTGAACTAACCCTGTCAGTTCGTAATAGAACATATAGAAACTAAAATTGAGAAAAGTTAGATTAGTACCTATAATAACAGAGAATATTCCAAATTATACTGTATACTAATTGCAAAACTAACAATTTTTTTATAATAAATATCATGTTTAGTATAGAAAAATTATATCTTTGTAAGTATTTTAAATCAACTTTTAATTATCTATTATTAGGAGTTACAGAGGCAACATGCTACTTTATTTTTGTTTTGTTTCCTATGTGTTTATTATAATTTTTTGTTAAACGTAATGAAGTATTCTTAAACATAAATGTAAAATAAAATTTTAAAGTGCTGAACGCATATTTAAAAATTACCTTTAAAAGTTTCTGCTTGAACTCGACTGAGAATGTTTTATCTTGTAGCAAAGCATATAATAAATCAGCAGCATTAGGTTCATACATTAGTAAATAGATTTGATCTCTGCAGTTCTTAGTTTCCAAATGTGATAATAACATTTCCAACATCTCTATTAACAGACATTCTTCCCTTACAGATGATAAATAATTCAAAATTGCTTTCACCTCCTGAAAATACTCACATTAATACAACAATATAGCAAAATATTCCTTACATTTTTCTTGTGTTTATACAAACCTTAACATTGACTTCTTTAGCAATATAAAATTTAACAATTCCCAATAATGAAACTCTTATCGTCTTTGCATCATCAGCACTTAAATTCTCATAGCTCACAAAAAACTCTCTGATCACATCCAAAAGAACTGAATTCCAAACTTCTTCCGAAAATATTTTCTATCTTCTTTAATTATTGTCGAAATATACTGTATGTGCCCAATTCTTATATGAAAAGCACTTCTCGACCATATTTTAAAATTAAACACAACCATTTGATAAAAAGTTTTAAGTAATACTGAATTTTCGTTGGCTTTGCAACTTTCAATTAATAACTGGACGGCCATTAATACATTAACATCTATCAATGATGAATCACATTGTAATAATAATGCTCCAATTATTGGAATACCTTCATTTTGTAGTAATTGTTCTTGATTTAGTGTGTGTGATGCTAATACATTTCGAAAAAACCCTAAAAACATTGCAATTGGAGTCTGATCAAGTTTGTGATCTGAAATAAAAAAGTCAAAATTAAACCATAACATAATTGAGATTTTTTTTCCCAATAAATGACCAAAAAACACTAATTAAAAATTTTAATCAAAATATTAATTAAAATATTGATTAAAAATATAAAAATATAAAGTTAATTTATTAGATTTTATCAAATGATTAAAAATATGTTTGAATATAAAAACATATCTATTTACCCATACTAGCACTGGACGGAAGTATTTCCCATTCTACCATATCATCAGGAGAATTAGGACTTTGTTTAAGAGTACTACTAGACATATGAGAAATTAAATGCATAATGTTTCTATCTTGATCCTTCACATGGCCAGCAAACTCTAGGAATGGCAATAAACTATGGATGCCCCCAATGCCATTTAAAACATCCTAAAAATTTGGATATATTTTATCTAAATATTCAATCATATAATTTATTATAATTTATTATTTAAAATATGTACACTTACTTGAATGTGTTGGGTATGACATATCTTGGCCACAACATGTCCATTATATTTGTGTGCCGGTGCAAGATCAATGCAAAGATTATCCCAGCAAGCAGTAGGAGAAAAGCAAAATATTAAGCGATTCAAGAGATCAGAACCTTCACTAAGCTCGTCGTTTGCCAGCAGCATACGAAATGACGGTCCTGAAATAGAATCACATCTTTACTATTTTGTGAAAAAAATTATTTTAATCATTTGATTATTAAAACAAAGTTCAAAATTTTCATAATATTGTTAATGCACCGTATAATGAGTGCTGTATTAAAAACAAAATGTAATACCTGCTTCAAAAAGTGTTTTTGCTTGGGACATTGTTACTGGCTCCTGTAATAAACAAGCTAAACCTAATTGTCCCTTCAAACAACAAGGGATTCCCCACACAGAATCTTGCATACCAGAAGGAAAACTTCTCACATGGGGATCTAGTGTAGTTTTTGTTCTAAGTGGCATTGTAAAATAATTTGGTACCTAGACTCAACAATAAAGTATTACAATTTCAAACAACACACTCTAATTCAAATATAATCATATTAGATAGTTGGGTTAAATGAAAAGTAGAGTTTTACATACTTGTGAAATTAGTGATGGCAAAAATGTTTTTTCAATAATATTTGGCACTAATCCTTTTCAGGAGCATCTGTTTTGGTTGCAGTAGAATTATTTTGCTGCTGATTACCAGAAATTCTTTGCACAACTGAACCAATTGTGCAGTAAGAAAATGGCTGTAAATACGCAAAATATAATCTGACATGAAATCATTTCATATTATAAGTTATTATAAAACATAATATTAACGAATTAAAATAGGAAAGTCGCATAACTCTTGTTCATGTTATATAATAATCATCTCTTTTGTGATGTGGTAGCTGTAACACTTTTATTACATTCGTTTTATTAAACAAGTAACAATAATAGTATTATTTGTACAATTAACTAATGCTGTAAATTTATAATTTTTTCTTACATTCTTATTAAAAATCAAGAGTATAAAGAGATCACCTATATATTAAATAAAATATAAAAATGACACTGAAATAAATTACATGATACTATTGCAGAAATACAAAAATAGTTTGAAAATAAATCAAAATAAGGGTAAAAATAATAAAACTTAAAAACATGATGTGGTAACATAACGTCGACTGCTTGAAATATTTGAACTTGCTATTTCATATTAAAAAGTATAAGATTAATATCTGACCTCAGCAAATGCAGTGAATTTCATGCTAACTGCCAACTTCTGCGTCCCATCAACATATATCGTGACGTTGTTGTGTGCAAACGGCCGCCTGGGTGGTGCCAAGCACACAGTGACGGAATGCCATTTACCATCAGCTAAACCACCAGGACTGCCAATGGAACTGGCGTTTACCGCGGCGGTTAAAAATTCGCGTCGTAGTGAAATGGCGGTGACTAGAGAACCGTCGCGCTGCACAAAAACTTCCATGCCGGTACCTTGAGGCGTAATCAAACTGAAAATGAGAAAAATAAACAATTAGATAGATGTAGACGCACCCTCATTGTTAATAATTCATTTTTATATTAAAATGTCATAGACCTCTAATATTTTAGTATGTCATAAAGACCAGGAACTCATTTGCCATACAAGATAACATTAATCGCCAAAAAAATCAAAATCAAGAATAAATATATTAAGTCCTTTATTATGAATTTAGTTTAAATAGTTTTAGTTATTCAACTTAAAACAAGTTAGGTATTTCATATTTGACTTTTTGGTTTTAAACGGCCCCCCAGATCTTTCGATTTGCTTAACATAAATTGAAAACTGCAAGATCTTATTTCAACTCATATCAATTATTGTAAAAACATACTTGAATAATTGCCTCCGAAAATTTTGCCCATCCAAGTCTGAAAGAGGATCTAATCGAATCCAACAGTGAAAGCTAAAGCCGTAGGAACATCCTGCCCATTTTCTAATTTCTGGTACCCTTAAACCATCTAAAAATACATAATGTAAATTAATAATGCAAGTACTTAATACAATTATGTAAAAATATTTTTTATCTTAAGATTTTATTATTATTTTAGTCAATTCTCAATATAAAATTGTTATACCTGTTTCTCCCTGCATATCAATATAACTCCTGCAGATCAATTTTTGATTACGAAAAATTGTAGCAACTGCTTGTAAAAGATTCTTATAATATGGCAACTCAAGTTCGGGCCGCAAAAGTAGAAATAGCATTTTTAATTCATGTGTTGTAATTGAATGCAATGCTAAACTTTCTAATAATTTTATTAACTCAATCGCTGCATTTATTGATAGTTTATCTGGATGACCGAGGACTTCACACACAGCAACAATAATCTTGCTTTCAGCAGCTAATTGCTTGCTGAAAATAATAAAATCAAGATATAGATATAATATAATAATAAAAATTGAGAATGCCGTAAAACAAGAAATAAATAAGGTAATAAAATTACCTTAATAAGCTTTCGGTGCATATTTTACATATCTCCTCTGAAATCCAAGGCTGATCATGTTCATCCATATCAATGATCCAAGTGATTAATCTTATAAGAATGTGTGAATTACAAATTGTGTTATCATTTCCATCTCCGGTTATCATTTTTAGTAACTGGCATAATAAAGATCTTGATGGAGTTCCAAGTTCAGCAACAGATGACATAAAAATATCATAATAGTCATTTTTGATAAAAATTTCTCTAGCAGATACACATAGGTGTGTAATTCGAGATAAACTACTTATACATTCTGTGGCTAGTAATTGATGATCTATATCCCATTCCTAAAAATGGACAAAAATTAATTGTAAAACTAGATCTGCTCTTCCATATATAATTATAAATTTTCAGTAATGTGAAATTAAATATATATATATATATATATATATATATATATATATGTATAAATTTACCTTTGTATGTTTCGGCAGTGTTACTAACAAATTCAACAAATTAGCATCTACTAAAGCCTGAGCTATCAGAACATTATTAGCAGCATTTGTCATTAACAGTTTTACGGAATTAACAATAGAGCATATGGCAATTGTTTTAACATTATCTTGATTATCCTCAGATTTCACTAAATTTTCTTCAGATTGATCAGACAGAAATTTAACAAACGTCGTGTGAAATAAGCTTAGGATCGTAGCTAGTTCTATCTGCCTCTGGTCTGGAGTAGATCTGTGCAGGACCTGCACCATGGCTACGAAACAGCGCAGGGCAATTGTGCGCACTTCACAATCGACGGTTTTTCGTCCTATTACGTCCATAAGAATACTGACAGTGGCTGGGCAAATGGCACGTTGACCGTTGTGCTTTTTAATTAAAAGAGCATATTAAATTAAATATATATGTATTGAAAAAGCTTTGAATTTTATCCAAGTTCTAATAAAATTGCTGCAAACTTTACACACATTAAAAAAAGAGTTGTTAATAAAAACCTAATAAAAACAATTTGTTAATAAGCTTGAAATATTTTAATTACATGCATCATGATGGAGAAGATTTATTATAAAATGGCTAAGCACAAACTTTTTACTTGCACAATGACTTCAATGTATAAATTCAACAACGAAATATAAATCAAGGATATTAAACTGAAAATTAAATTCTGGGTTTCTAAGTGAACATAAAACTTAATATGTGGAGTAGAAGTTTCATAAAGTTTTTTACATAAAAATATTTGTAAGAAATAGAATTCAGAACAAATATACGTCAAACTTATTTTGTCGATTAAATAAAATAAAATTTCACAGATCAATAAAAAAAAAATTGCTATCCTTTTATGACTACATAATGTTTTTTCTTGAATATATTCTTTGCAAAAGTACTATTAAAATTATTTACTCTTTACTATTAGAAAAAAAAACATGCAAATGTGTGTTAATCATTTTTTTAATAACAATGACTTGGGTATCTATTCAATTAATTTTAACCCAAACAAGCTTTATCAATGCCATGCAAAAATATTTTAATAACCAATTTTTAGTAACAGTTAACTCACCCCTTCACTAAGTCTACGAGCCATACCATCAGAATTCCAATTGTCAATAGGTTTATAATTCAAAATCATCTTCTGAAAAATTATAATTTTTCTAATACTTAAAATCTAATCAATCATTACTGTACACAATATGTATCAACTACTGGAACGTAATGAAAATTTTCCTCATAGCAAATGAAACAATGATCAATAAATTTTCAAAACAAAAATATTCAAAATATATATTAAATAGCATATTCTTCATTCATATTGAAGCTTTGTTAAATTATTTTAATAATATATAACTAGCTACTATATCAATTAATAGATTATTCACCTTTACCCATGCCTTTAGTTATTTGATTTAATTCAAACATATAACCAATACCATTTTTAATTCATTTATATATACTACTGCAAACATATATTAAAACTTAAAATCAAAATTAACAGTGACACATTATAATAATAAATATGTAACTAAACAGGACGTCACAAATTTTGAATAGATCTCAAATATAAATATTAGTTTTGTGAATGTGTCTTATGTTTAATATATTTGTATAAATGAGAAAATATGTAGCTAATTAATTAAACCGTCACAGTAATATATTTAATGGTTTGTTGCATTATCTATCATTATCTTAAAGTAGATGTAAAATAATTGAAATTTAAATGAAGTTCATTGATCCTGTTTTGCATCAATACAAGCACAAATTTGTTAGCAAGAATCTGTATCTCAAAATTAATAAATTTTCATCTAAATAATTGTATAAATTTTACTTAATCACATTATTATAGAAATCTAACGTAAACTCTATCTGAAAAGCAAGAAGCAATACTTATCTATTAGAGAGTTATACCAAGGCATAGCTACCGAAATATAGCCTAGTCTATGTTATCTTTATATCACTTTTAATTTAGAGTATGCAAGAGTGTATGTGCATTGGTATAGATTATAATAATAAAGATTATTCCAAATTCTGTCTCTACAGACTATTTGAAAAAGCAATTTTGCCAACATTTAGTTCGAAAATTACTTACTTGGGCACCAAATATCACTGCACCTAATACATGTAAAAGAGCTGTACTTATTTCCGGATAAGAAAACATTAGTGAGGATTGAAAACAATCTGAAATAGGAAAATATTATCAATATTTATTGATGTTATTTATTATCAACCAAATATAACTTACCATAAATAAATGGAATGACTTCTACATGAAGCAAAGCCGGTTGGTGTTGCAGTCTTGCAAAATCAGCATTATTGTTTAATAAAAAATTTCTCCAAGTGAAATATGGATCGTACAGTACTTCTAACATCAGTGCTAAAGAACGGAGAAATGAATCGGCATTTTCAATTGGGTTTTTTAGCAACTGGAAAAAATAATACATAAGGTTTCTGAATATACATTTTTTAGTGGAGATTCCAGCAATATCCTATATTTACCTTGTGCACAACAATACTGGCAATAGATATACATTGACTGATATATTCACAAGAGGATATGAGGGGGATATTATCAAAATTTCTGCATATTATTGTCAAACATTTAATCAGCACTTCTGCTTCATTGAGGAATGTTGGTGTAATAATATCCTTAAAGGAAAAGATTAAAAATATATTACTTCTATCTTTAAAATTCAATTATACAAAGAAAATCTTACATAATAGCTATCATATTTATATGATATATGGATATGAATAAGTAATATTAATTAATTATTTTAATATTTAGTAATATTAATTAATGATTATAGTATAAATGTATGTAAAATTATACAGTGAATTAAAACTCTTATATGATTGCTTTTAAAACTATTGCAAAGCAAAATTGATCTTTACTGTTATGTTACAAATGCAAGTAGATAAGTAATAATTGTAAAATGCCTTAAGAATGACAGCCTTTGCCTTGGAAGCAATAAAAATAAAAAGTAAATTAATATCAAGTATCTTATAATATACAAATGGTATACGAATAAGCAAACATAAAGTAGAAATCATCGCTTAAGTGCAAACAATTAAATGTAACATTTGCAAAATGAGATTTCAACATATTTCTGAATTTAATAAACCTTCTCGGCTGTATCTTTAGCTATATATAGAAATTTGCCAATAGCTGGTAATAGTTCATCCGGCAGTCTTGTCAAATGGGGCCCTGAATCACTTTTAGTCTCGGTTAGACTAGGGGGTTTATTTACATCGAGACATAATTGAGACTCCCATATTCCCACAAATCCTGCTACGAATTGTCTAAAATAAATTTCTTCATTCTGAAAAGAAATGAAGAGAAATAAAGAACCAATTGGATAGAAACTAGATATTGCTTAATATTTCAAATACCTTTGTTGTGTATTGGATCCAGAGATTGTAAATGTCTTTTCTGGATTCCATTATGAATATATTATCGTTCTGTCGTTGCTAAAATTGAATTCAATCATGTTTAAATATAATGTTTAATAAAAATATTATTTCATGTTAACATTCTACACCGATATCAACTGACAGATGACACATCGGCCACCATATTGCGCTAATGTTACTACCTCGTGTTATCTGCTTGTCAAAGAGGAATCAGGTGTTAAACAAAATATAAAACTGGAGGGAAATTTGAATTTACATTCTTTTCGGATCACTGTTATGCATTCGTTCTGGTTGACACAATTTACATTTTTAATAATTTGATTAATTTACATTATAAAATATATTTAACTGTAACAAATACATTCAATGACGACAAATTCTAATATGAAGTCGTTACCCAAATCATAATCAAACAGCAGTTGCTGTTAAAGTGAAATATTTACACATTTTTCCGTATCTTGATTTAAATGATTATTTCATTTTGTTTATTATGTATATTATTATTTCATTCCATGTTATTCATTTAAGACTCCTACACATTTCACAAAACACATGTAACCCTACCTACCGATTTCGAATCAGGTTTCAGCACATGTATAAATATAAGTGATATTTGCATACATGATACATAATACTTTATTTTGTTATCAAACCAGTTAAATGTTATGTAATTATATATATATATATATATATATATATATCTTACTCTTGATAGTTATCTTATTGGGTATCATATGCAATACTCACCTGTGCATTTAGTTCGAAATAGTTATTTCAAATATTTGAATCAAATAGTGCTGGTATATCAAATATAATAAAAGTATACCATTTTAAAAATAATATTTGATATTCCTTCACAATGAGGAGGAAAAATAGAAATCAACACAAGTAAACAAAAAATATTTTTATATAAAGCAAAAACCACGCAAGCTTATTTATAAATTTTTCCCTCAATTTACTTAAACTGCCACTAAAATCACAAGTTTTTGAAAGTAATTACCTTTGTAATTAATAGTCATAATTTTGGTATAGTCCTCACATTTCCAAATATAATAAGAGACTGAGATTATATTCCAATGTAATAGACCGGCTAACTAAATGCACCCGAATTTACAATATTTATCGTATAAGTAATAAATAAATAACATTGATAGTCCATTTTTAATATCATATGAAAACACATATAATTAACATGCATGCATTTATTTCTAAACATGGGATTACTTTAAAAAAAAACATGAAAAAGAAAAAGAGTTGAATGATTCATAGTGTATCGCGGTTATGTTATGAAAATATTATTAATCATTATTATAACACTGGTATGATTCATGCTGTCAAGTTTTATTTTATTTCGTTTTTTATCTAATCTTAATTTCGTTCAACATATACAGAATAATTAAGTTATTTTGTTCTCATATTTCTCATAAGATTAAATTCTTTAATATCAATTATTATTATTATAACACTACTATGATTCATCGTTTGATTCATTCCATTTGTTTGTTATCTCTAATATTAATTTGTACAAACAACCAAAATCAGAACTTTATTATTATATTTAAAAAAACGTGATTTTAACAATAATCAGACGTATGAGAACAGATTTGAGAACAAAGTAAATAGGCGTAAGTGGAATTTTGTCTCATCAGCCCGGCTGATGATTATGAGAAACTGGACAGCAACATGGAAATGCATTCCCAACTAAATATTTTTAAAGAGTTTTCAAATTGTGCAGGTTGTTTGGCGAAAACCTGGACCAATTTTTTTGGCACTTGTTGCAAGTGGAAAGAAACGGTTCGGCAGATCGCGCCGTAAAAGTAATCAACGCAATTTCTGTAATCAAGTTCATCCAATGGCTATTTTTTTACCAATGTTGGTGTCTAACGACTTAGCATTACTTGAAATATCAAGAAATAAAGAATGCAAATCTGATTTTCTGGTACTAACCTTCTCCGTCGGGAAGTGCAGTATAAAGAAATCGCTAAGTATCCTTTGCTAAGGTGACCATCTTTTTTTTTAAGTCGAAATCGAGGTGGTAATTTTTTAGTTATGCTAATCCTGGACGGAGTAGTAGGGGTGGTGCAATAGTTTTTTTATATGATTTTTTTTTAAATCAGAATTGCAAACTTTCAGTATAAATTTTACTATTCGATTATATATAATACATCTTAATCTATGATATTATATGTTTTTTTTCGATCTATTTTCTTCGCTTTTGAGCCTTGTACAAAATTAATTTCATCAAAAAAATTACATGTTTATTTTCATAACTTTTATAAATTTATCTGTAAATATTTAAAAATCCGCGACAAACCGGGACACAAAATCTAAATCCGGAGCAAAAATTGCTAGAAAATCCCGGGACACAAGGAGAAAATCCAGAACAGTTCCGGGCCAACGGGGATAGTTCCGGCCCAGCCGGGACGACCATGGTCACCTTACCTTTGCAGCAAATGGTATATATATAAGCTCCAACCCTCCAACTTCTTATTTCTGTATTTTTTCCAATTTATGGCAATAGTTACAGATATTGAATCCTTCATTTCCAAATCTGATATTTTCTTACATATAGTATATATTTTCCTAAAAACATAAATCAAAATGGTTATAATAAAACATCATCGTAAGCTTGTACAACAATATATTTTAATTTGCATGTTAGCAATGAAAAAGCAAAGACTTAAAAATGAAAATACAATACAAAAAACTGTACATTTTATCAGATTATTATAATTATACGTAACATACGCCAAAATGTATAAAAAGTTTTACGAATAGAATAATTAAATGCCTTTAATTCAGGGGCGTAGCTTACTTCGAATCAACAGCAAAGCTACGCCACTGGATATTCTGTTTTGCATTATTTTAAAAAATGGCAAAGTTAAATTTGTATTTGGAAGGAATATTCCTTGGACAATTTTGCATACTAAATGTAATTTCTAATAATTTTTCAAACTTGCTAAGAATGCGCTAGAATGCAATATAACAAATAACTTATTTTGAAACTAATATTCGAAAAGTATGAAAATTATATTAATATATTTTCTCTTTTTTTAATTATATTTTTAATAACATATCATACTATGTAAATCAATCTACACTCTACAATCTTAGACTAAAAGGCTTATACTTTCAATAATTGTGTCATTTTGGTATATAGTTAATTTAGATATATTTTGCAATAAAGTTTTTCAACATTAAAACTATCATGATTTTTACGTGATATTTATGTCAATTTGAATTTTTTGTATTATTATTTGTGTTACGCAAAAATAATCTTATAATATGCGAAGGCAAAGACATGATATAGGTATTTTATAGTCACTACTATAAGCCACTATATGCTAATTATTTGAATTTATGAAATGAGTAAAAATTTCAACATCAATATGAAGCAACTAATTTGTATTTGATTGTGGGCACAAAAAGTGTATGTATTTTTTTGCATTTTATTGTAGATCACAGACAATTTATCTATAGAATCTAAATAGGTAACTATATTTTACTGTTAATATAAGTATAATAGTTAATTAATATAACTATATTAATTAGATATAGAACAGCGGTGTAATAACATAAATTAAATATATGATTATTTATGATCATATGTATTTAGATCGATCATCATGTATTTATTGACTTATCAGAAAAACTCTTACCTTACATTTTGTCAATCAATATACCAATTACATTTTTGTAATCGTAATCAAATTATATTTATTGGAACCAAAATTTCGCCTAATAAATTAATTAATTAATTAAAAATAACATTCTTCACATTATCAGATTCAAATCAATGTATAAAGTTTGATAATTGCTTAATGATGCGTTTTCCATTTTTCAGAGTAAATTATCATAATTCATCTTTAGTGTAAACTATCATAAAATTTAAAACATAATTAATTTCTGTACAGATTCAATTTCATAAACTATCATCTATTATAGAATAAACTTGAGCAATAAATTGTAACATATAGTTTATCGAAATGTATCTTGATAAAATTTGCGATTATCAACATACAAATTTGCAGACATTGTGAAATATGATTAAAATTATGGTTTTATACATTTGATTTAAAATATAAATGTTTTTATGAAATATGTATGAGCACCGATAGTGAAGCTATGATATAGTGATTTATTTTAATGCAAAAAATGTTCAAATGCTTATGATTTATGAATTTTTTGTGCCAAATATTGAAAACATTGTTTTTTACTCTTCATACAGAATTAAAATAGATTTAAAATTTATGGAAAATATCCCATAAAATATACCATAACATTCTGTTGTCATGGCAACACTGTTACGATCCTTACTTCTTATATATTGGTCGCTCAATTCAGGCGCTCAATTCAAATAAATAAATTGTCAATATTTTTTTTTGAGATTGAGGTTCTATGAATCTTGCACATTAATTCCTTGTAGTCACATTTTTTGGTTTTGCTGAAGATGAAGCTTTATATTACTGTGAGCTTACGAGCTTACAATTATTCAGAGGTATCGTTTTATTTAAAATGTATTTAAATGTGATGTATTTTTAATCAAAAATGTTGACCTAACATAAACTATCAGGACATTAAAATTAACTCTGTAAGCTAAGTTTTGCTCTAACGATTAGAGCTCATTTACTTTCTGGTTTAAATCTGTTCCTGAAAACCTTTTTTTGACGTCATGACCTGTATGAAGAGTTTACAAATAAATGGCACATAAAAATGCAATGATCTCAATGTAGATAATATTAGATTCTTAAAGTTCTACTTCACCATAAATATAATTCTTTGAGACATCCAGATTTTATTTAAAAAATGGAGGGCGACATTCTGCATAACAGAATACCTTACTTCACAGACCGTTGCGAAAGCCTAATATTAATTATTTAGTTAAATTTCAATAATTATCATAATTATTCATTTAGAATAATACGTGCTAGCAAGAAAGCTATAAGTTTCATTATTTACATTAACAATAATATTAGATTCGATTCTCTCTATATCATTCGTTTACTCAATTAGATATAAATTTAGTTTAAACATCTAGATATTTTTATTATAAAATCACTCTTCATCGTTTATAGAATATAATTTTATTTTGCAATTCGTATTAATTACAGACTAATGAATTGTATTGCAAGAAATAGATATATG